AAGCCAAAATGCTCCAATACATAGTGCGCGGATATCATCCAAGGTGTGGTGATGACCCAGCATAGACTCCGATGCTAATCGTGCAAATTCGGTGTAGCAGGTATCAAACGTGCGTTCCTTGGTCGGCATATGAAGCGCGGTGACAGCCAAAATAGCGGCAGATAACATTGATGACGACCGCCGGACAGACGCCAAATCTTTATGTGCTAGCAAGGCTCCATCCCATAAGTAGCGGTTGAGTACCTGGTCGAACTGATAGAACAGCTCCTCCGCTTCCTGGATATCCACCACTCCGCGCGAGATGAGATCAGTGACCGGTGCTTGATCTGGGGCAAGCTTTTGTCCGGGCGAATTCTCGCAGTTTTCACTGAGCTGCGTTACCTCGTATAAACTGCCCATCGGTGCTGTTACTAGAGAGGTTGCTCCAGTTTCCTCGCGGCCCAACGAATATCGTGGTTGTTGTTGTTGTTGTTGTTGGGGGAAGCCATAGTTTGACCTTACAGCTGTGCCATTTCCTACTTTACTGCCGGCTGGCTCAGCCCTTTTGTGTTGCGCAAATCCAATATTATCAGTCGAGGCGGTGGAATCTTTCCGGCCGCTTTTGTTCGAAGGCGTCTCGATTGTACTTCCGCCTGCTTGGTAGTATGATAGCTCCGGTAGTTGGGATTTTCTTAGCAGGTCCGTCATTGCCGATTCGATCTTTAATTTCCACCTGTCGTAGACAGCACAATCAGCATCTGTCACCAGTGTAGACACCCCAAGATAAGGCACTCACTCGGCTTCGTCCTCCAGTAATGTTTGGAGGCTTTTATTCACAACACACTCTAGTCCCATGCGCTGACACCGCGAGCACACCGAGTCAGTTGCCTTCATGTCACAGCGCACCTTATGCCGCTTACACTCGGTGCATGCCCGTATGCGTCGAGAGATCTTCGGAACATGGTGAGGGCGGTCCTCCGGGATTAGACCACCCTGCGGAGGAGAAACGGACGAGGCGTCACCATAGGCCTCGAACTGAATGCGATTCCGCTTCATGTTAGTGTGGGGGTTGGACTCATCCTCCTGGCGCATTCCGGGGAAGACAGAAAGGCGGGGTTAGTACAGCTTCACACCTGTGGACCGGCCGGTTCTGGCCCGAATCACTCATTGGCGGCTGGCCGCCTACGGCAGCCATGGATATTCAGGCAGAAACAAGGCTTCAATTATGTGGTCACATGACCTTGCATTGCACTATACCCAATTAGGATTAAATGGTGTCGCGCTTCCAGCCTAGCGCGTTCGCGTGTTGCGACAGGTCAAGCTTAACTTTCTACACAGACACAAGATTCCAACCCGAGACAAGATAAACTCACATCCAAGATGGGTATTAAGCGTATGTATCTGACTCTTAACCATATGCAACTTTTTGCTAAATAAACTCTAGACCTGTACCAGGTTATCTCCGAGAATGCCCCCGATGCGATCAAGACGGGCGAAATCAAGAACCACTTCGGCCGCAAGGTCGCGATTGTATGAATTGTGTAACCTGTAATATACCTTCGGATACTAACATATGAATCACATGGATTAGGATGCGTATGTCGTTGGAGAATCGTCCCGGTGGCTCAAGAATCTCTAATCGCTTACCCAGAATAGGTCGATGAGCATCTACAGTTTCCTGATCGCCGTGCGCTCGGAGGGTCAACAGCTCATGAGTGAGTCAGGTGAGACCACATCCCACCTGATGGGCATGTTCTACCGTACACTCCGGATGGTGGATAACGGCATCAAACCTCTCTATGTTTTCGACGGAGCCCCGCCGAAACTCAAGTCCGGTGAATTGGCGAAGCGTGTTGCACGCAAGGCTGAAGCAGCCGAAGCCCATGAAGAGGCGAAAGAAACCGGAACTGCGGAAGACATCGAAAAATTCTCACGACGGACTGTCCGCGTCACCCGTGAACATAATGCAGAGTGCAAGAAGCTCCTTGGACTGATGGGAATTCCTTTCATTAACGCACCGACGGAAGCCGAAGCCCAGTGTGCCGTCCTGGCTCGTGCGGGTAAGGTGTATGCAGCTGCGTCCGAAGACATGGATACATTGTGTTTTGAGTCGCCGATTCTCCTGCGCCACCTGACATTCAGTGAGCAGCGCAAGGAACCTATCCAAGAAATCCACTTGGATCGCGCACTTGAGGGTCTTGATATGGACCGCCCACAGGTACTATATCTTTGATACGTGTAATCACAATTGCTAACTATGCCTACCATCCAGTTCATCGATCTCTGCATTCTTCTCGGCTGTGACTACCTGGAGCCTATTCCCAAAGTGGGAGCCACCACTGCTCTCAGCCTCATCAAGGAGCACAAGTCTCTGGAGAAAGTCCTGGAGTTCATGAAGAATGACCCAAAGAAGAAGTTCGTAGTTCCTGAAGACTGGCCCTACGAGGATGCGCGAGAGCTGTTTTCCAACCCAGACGTCCGGCCTGCCGATCACGCCGAATGCGACTTCAAGTGGGAAGCTCCCAACGTCGAGGGCCTGATTGAGTATCTGGTTGGAGACAAGGGCTTCAATGAAGACCGTGTGCGCAACGGGGCCGCCCGTCTCTCGAAGCACCTCAAGACCGCCCAACAATCCCGGCTGGAGGGATTCTTTAAGCCCGTCGCCCGCACTGAAGATGAGAAAGCATCTCTCAAGCGCAAGCACGACGAGAAGCTGCTGCAGCAAAAGAAGAAAAAGAAGGAAGATGCCAAGGCTAAGAAGGATGCCAAGGCGAAACCGCGTGGGGCAGCCTAGTATCTTGATGAGACATGCTTCTCTTTTTCTGTCAAGAACAACTAATGATGCGAAAGTCTTTCTTGATCTAATATGAGCTGGACTGGCGTAGGCGTTCTGTGGTTTATTTCGTTGTTTCTTATGCATTGTTTATATCCGTGCGGAGAATGTCCGCTTCGCCTCGGATCGGGACAGGGCATGAATTTCTGTGTATCATAGCAAAGGGTGGTCTGATTTGAAATCAAACCTGAGAATTCAATGTTCCTGGGCTTCTTTAATGGTCCAGTATCTTTTACCAGTCCCTTGGACGTCGAGATCAGACAAGATCAAGCAAGGCAGACACGCGAATTTCGTCTGATCCTCGGGGCTACAGTTGATCGAACGGTCCAAAAAACATGTATTTGTTATCTACCATCTGTTCTGAGCACATGAGCATATAAAAGTTTTTTTTTCGGAAGTTCTGGTGTAGTTTTCGCAGGGTGTTGATTTTCAGCGTTCGCGTAGAAGGGTTGTATAGATCGGGCCCGATTAGCGAGATTAGTCGAGGCCTCTCAACACCAACTACGATTGATCTTCACGAGGGAAAGCAGCAAATACTTCGAATGCCAAAAATAAACGCCGGCATTAGTTACCACGAAAAATCTACCCTCTCAAAAGGTACAGCCAAAGTACATGCAGTGCAAGATCAGCGTTTTCACTACCTGAGCCCTTGATTCGACGCGCCGGTTGCGGATGCAGATGCGATGATCCCCGCCGCACAGCTACGCTGATGGACCCATGATCGGGGTTATACAGTTGAAAAAAGAGGGGTTTCGTTCAATGAGATGGTTTCTTTCTTATAATCTGTTTGCATTGGTTCGAGGTTGGGACAAAACACGCTCGTCAGATGGGTCCCCTATACATCTGCCCCGGGTCGATCCCAGGCTACCTTCCTTTCCTCCCGGTAACCTTCTGAGTGCGTATCAGCGGGGAATGGTGGGATCGGGGCTATTCTGCGTCTTTTATTGGTTGTGTCTGCTGATCCTGATGTGATTAGGTAGTGGCGTTGCCGCTGCCCAGGCAAGAGAGCTTCCAAGGTTTCCCTTCCGATGTATATCGCGTGTCACTCTAATCCTAAGGGAAGTTGGGTTTCAAGGATCTTGTGATTGGTTATGGGACTTTTGGTCTCTAGCGATTCTGACCCCCAAAACCCCTTTCAATTATTTATTTCATTGGGTTTGATAATTTAGATGTGGTGATCTGTTTTGCTCTATGGGGAGCAAATTCTCATTTTGCTAGAAGTACTCCTATTATTGTCCCCCTGGTCAAAACGACGAAAAAAAATGAACTCTAACCTCTTATTTCAATCGGATCTCCCTTGAGAGAAACCATGCAAGTTGTATATACGTCCTCAAAAGTGTCGAGTCTCGACATCGTCCAGGAGTTGTACCATGGAAATCGACAAGATTAAAATCTCCAACGTGCCCCTTCAGCACGAGGTTATGCAGGTCCAGGTCCAAAGCAAGGAGGTCTCGATGCAAGTATAAAAGGACATACTATAGTGAACTATAGCGTTTTTCGCGTCTGGATTCCAAGTCTCACAAAGGGTTTCTAGATCCCCAAAAAGGGAATGGTTACCCCAGATGACATTGGAATATGGCTATAGGAAAATGATCTCCCTGGTCTCTCTGGAAAAAATATGTGCTCGCCCCCAAAAGCCTCCAGAATAGAGCATGTGCGATTTCTATCGAGGGGAAAAGGGACGCGTAGAAGTCCCAGTTTACCAGTTGATAAGACTATTGTCGCGTCGTGAATCCGGCAAAATCTTCAGTTATTCTAATAGAGAGTGATTTAATGTAGTAAATGATTTTGATATTTGAAGCGTCTCATATATCTCATAGAATAGAGAGCGAATGTATCGACATCAGGCATTCTTCCAAGTTGGAACACGCGAAGAGATGCTCGCAAAGAACACAGCAAGACAGGAACGAATCACAACGTTTAGTAAAAAAAAAAAACGAACCCGCCAAAAGAGAACTTCTAGAATGAAAATTCAAAAGAAAGTGCTTTTTTTCACTCTCTGATGATCTTGTTGTCAACACCGGTCGCCTATAAATCACGGATGCCCCGCGGCCTTCCCTTTCCCTTCTGCCCTTTTCTCTTCCTCTTTTGCTTTCACACTCCCCACGTATTTTTTTCTTCTACTTCTCATCTTTTGATAACTTGACCTTCTTCACATCATCCCTTCTCTCGCCTTAAATTATCAATCATGCCCCCCAAGAAGGTTACCAGCGCGTCCAAGAAGGCGGCGCCTGCTCCTCACACATCCTACCGCGGTAGGTTTTCACTGATCCTGAATGCCCACCACATCGCGTAATAGCGATATCGATATGAAACTAGTCGCGAATATCTGCTGATTCGATGAATACAGATATGATCAAGGATGCCATTATTAACGTGAGTTGATCACTGCCGGCGCGAGCCAACCTGGTTGTTGTGATTCGGGTCGCGCGCCCGACCGTGACACGTCTTTGCCTTTGGGCATGGACAACCACAACGAAATCAACTATTAGCTTCTATTGGGTTTTCATTACTGACCTTTGTCCTTTCTGCGTATAGCTGAAAGAACGCAATGGTAGCAGGTAAGTTTCTGGGGGTTCCCTTTGTCGCCGATGCATCTGGGGTCCCGGGTGCTCGTGCCATTTATTCTAGAACCAAGCCACTAACCGACTCTCCCCCTATCTTAGTCGTCAGGCTATCAAGAAGTACGTTCAGTCTAACAACAAGATCAACGTCACTTCCCAGAGCGTCTTTGACTCTCAGTTCAACAAGGCTATCAAGGCCGGTGTTGAGAAGAACGAGTTCACTCAGCCCAAGGGTAAGCTTTTGTGTACCTAGCCTGCGCGCAATGATTCTATCCCACTGGGCCTGATATGACTCAACTTGTGCATTTAGCTGCATTTTCCCTCGTTGACTTGACCATTTTACTAACACGTCACCGTCTAGGCCCATCTGGCCCCTTGAAGCTTGCGAAGAAGGATGCTCCTGTCAAGGCCGCTCCTAAACCTGCCGCAAAGCCTGCTGCGAAGCCTACCCCTAAGGCCACTGTCAAGGTAAGCTCTTACCGAGGACGGACTCCCATGGTCCTGCTAATTATAATATAAGCCTCCCACCAAGACTGCCCCAAAGACTGCTGCCAAGAAGGCTGCGCCCAAGAAGGCTACCACCACCAAGCCCAAGGCCAACTCTGGCAAGGCCCGCAAGACTTCCACTGCTGTAAGTCGGTTCCGGATGTTCTGTCCACAACCTCCCTTGATCGACCCGTGACTGACGATTATTCCAGGCCCCTGCTGTCGTTGAACAGCCCAAGATTCTGGGAAAGACCAAGTCTGGCCGTATCACCAAGACTACTGCCCCGCAGCCAGCAACAACCCGAGCTGCTCCCCAGAAGCGGACTACCACGAAGTAGAGGCTTTGTTATCCTCCTTTGTTTTTCACTGGGTTGAGCTCTCCCTCTATTTTCACGTGCGCATTTCCAGGGGGAGTACCCGGTACTGATTCCTTCTTCTCTTGTAATTTCTTTGGACTCCTTGATCTCTGTGGCTCTGACGGTTTCCTTGGTTTTGTTTCTGCTTTTGCTTTTTGGGGTTTCTTTGCTATGCTGGCTTTGCTTCTTTCCAAAGTCCTATGGGTGGCGTTCTGCGGTGGGTTTTGCGATGGGGAACTGCAATCTGATTTATCTTGATATTGCGAATCATTCCATTCTCAATGTGGAATTCAAATTGGGGTTGGTCGAATCTTGGTGTTGAAAGTGTAGACTGTCAACCGCGGACCTTGTAGAAGCATACTGCAGATCTCTCCACATCTGGTCTCGTGTCAGTGTCAGTGTCTATTTTTATTTCCCCCCCCCCCTTAGTCTACAACATACTGGACTGATACAAGCTTGATTGATTTTATCGAATTTTGGTGTTTGTCCTTGAGATCGTCCAATCTAGGTTGTTGACAAGAACATGTGAACTAGTACGGAGTAGGGCATTCATAGAGCGTGTTTATAGCACTAGCGTATGAGCTGGAGGTCGCACTGAAACAACCATTGTCAGATGATGCTCAAGAGTCCTATCCCTAGCTCAGCCCTGGCTTGAGCCACATGATCTAACGAATACCGGTAATTCGGATCGGATACCGGTGCTGACAATATCCGTGCGATCTTTCGAGGGAAAAAAAAACACTACAGGAGTGTATTAAAACGAGCAAGTGGTCTCAGAAGTCGTAGAATCTTTTCTCTCATTTCTTCACCTCATGGATATCGTGACTGAAACACGACATGCAATTGAAAGATCTGGGTCTGCATTTAAGCACAGTATCCAAGAATATGTAAAAGAGATCGAGAGACCATGCCATTTGCACTGAGAACATCTGCCAACAAGCTCAAAGCCAGAGCATTAACCCGGCATTCAAGTAGGAAGACAACATCTTTGATCGTTCCCATCGGTCTGAACCGGGAGAAGGTTGATGTCTGTGTCAAGGATGCCTCTCCACTGCAGTGCCTCCGATGTGGTAGAAATCCTTGAAGAGCCCGGTCGGACTAGGGATCCAGGGGTCACGGAGCGAACGAGAAACTCAGGTCCGCGCTCAATTTGTGCCCAATCAATACATTCAGGGACCGCTTTTAGTTCTTCCTAGAGTACGGAGTACTTGTCATACACACACACACACACTCTCTCTCTCTCTCTCTCTTCGTGATCTTTTTCAAAATACTGTCCCGTCCTGCTCGGCTTGTGCTTCACGGCAATAGCCCGTCGTCGGCTCACACTATCTCCAGCTAGATCATTGTCTCAAAAGCAGCTCTTCGGTTGTTAAATCTTTATCCGTCCAGGTGAAATCATAATTCCACACCTTTCGGGCATAGTCAACGGGTGATTGGGAGTGTAGCCATGGTAGTGGTGGTCAATGTCATCCTTCAACCGTGAATTCAAGTGAATTCAAGTCGTAAGGAATTGGATGGATGAATAAGCAATTGTGGGACATTGACAGACAAACCAAAATGGTCCTTCAAAGTTCCCCCCGGACTCTCGAATTTGACGGCGTTGACCCATCGTAGTGACCCCACCCTTCATTGAACTCCAAGTTCCTTGTGCCCAGTCGGTTGATCTCGCTTGATCGGTGGCGGTGTACATCAGTGTTCTCCCAGTTGATCATCCTCACTATCCTACAGAGTTGACTGAAGTGACTGAAGTGGGAAGCACCCTGGAAGATCATGACTGTTGAAATTCCCAATCGGAAAATGAGTTGAGCACCGGCGAGCTGTGTACGGCATCCTTCTCCTCTTTTGAGAACAGCCCTGGAAAGATCGTTTGCGCCTTGCCTATCGACATGTCAAATAGAGCGAGTGGGTTCAGCATGCGGAGTCGGGCACGACTAACATCAATTTCCACGCCGAACGATGAGCTAGATCCTTCCCCAATGGCACATGACATGTGGTCGTATGCAAGGGAGGTCACAAATATTAAATTGAAATCATGCACAGGGATAGAGTACCAGATCGGTTGCGGTGAGGCTGCTTTGCCGTTTTGCCGTGTCATGATACCCCAGCTCCGACAGAAATGGCTCATTGACAGTCCCTTTTTCTGTATGTCGGAGGGTCTATATAGTTGTCGCTCTATGTTGTAGTGGGTTGCCCTGGACCGCATCAAACTCGGAACAGATTCGGGACTCAGTGGGGCCCTGAGGGAACCTTGGGAGGCGTGCGTCCAGATCGATTCGTTACACATTTGGACACCCGTGAACCTCATCCCTTCATTCTACTCTTTCCATCCGATCGTTCACCAATTTAAAGAGATGAGATGACGTGCGACACTTTGAATTGCCATTAATTAACAGAGATCATGCGACGAAGCTGAAACTTTGGTTCGATCCTACCATGCCATCCGCACACCTGGAGATGTAACAATCTGTAAGGTACTCTGGACACATGGAAAGAACGGTAAAGAACGCTTTCTAACTGGTCATGCCGCTATCGATTTCACGGAGTGATTGGGGAAAGTTAAATCGAGTAGGATCGTGCGGAGAGATGACTGCGCCATACATTATGGATACGGCAGGAAAAGTGGAAAATCAGGATAAATGGTCGAAGTGGTTGAGAATTGCATGTCTTTTGTGTCTTTTATACTCCCTAGATACTTTTCGATATGAGATGTTATCCCCACGGGTCCTTCAAGAAATTGACGGTCTATTTTTACCATCGGCTCGGATGTTGAATGCTTTTCACCCTGGAGTTCGGGAACGAGGGGGATGCCGGTCAGGGACTATCCTTTACATTGTATCTTTGTATCTTTGTATCTTGGTATCTTGGTATCTTGTACGGAGTCCTCCGTACACGAAGTGGAGAACTTCCCCTGTGGCGCAGATGAAGATTTCATTGCAACTGTATATGGGGAGCCCTATTTTTGGGAATGCTTTGGAAGTATGTATAAAATAGACAACATCACTAGAGACACGACATGGTAAGTGATTGAAGAACCGTTTCCGATTCTCTCTCTCTCTCTCTCTCTCTCCCTGGGCTGAAACTAAAAAGAAAGGGTCGACGAGACTTGATGACATTGTAATGGGTCGCCACCCGTGGCCCTCTCCACGCCAGTGTATTGAGAGTCCGGAATCTGGGTATTGCTGTCGGAGCAATACCCATACGGTATTTGTTGTTAGATGTGACCTTCCATGTCTATCTTGCCTTCGTACGGAGTTTACGGAGTATAAAAGACCCAATCGACGAAGTCCATCGTCGGGGTTTGTGCAACGCCGATCTCCTTGCATAAACAACAGGGACTGAGGGGTAGAGAGAGATAAAGAGAGAGAGAGAGAGAGAGAGAGAGACAGAGAGAGACTACGGAGTGATGAAATTGGCAATCTTATATCGGAAGTAACAAGTGGAACTATGATGTGATAAACCGCGCTCATTGAACATCCGAATTTTTTATGCAACCTGATACCTGGGTATTGACCATATTACAACCACAATCGTGTATTCATGTTCTCTAAGTGGAAATTTGAAAAAAAAAGTATCTTATATTGTAGGTCTATCAGAGCATTTTTATAATCATTCATTATATAGAATGATAGAAGAAAGAAAGTCCAAAAACATTGATGTGAATGGAGGGGACATTTCCTTACATGTAATTCTTTTTCTCCCAGACAACCAACTTTCCTTCCACATCCCCCCCCCATATTTTCCCCATTTAACAACCTCATTTACCCTTTCTTCCCCTTTTGTATTGGTTGAATCATGATCGGTTGAATACCCTTGCCCTGGGCAACTGGCTCTACACTCTCTTTTATCTTCTAACATCTGGAACGCCGTCCGGTTCACAACTGTATCTCCGCCAATAAGGGTGACTTCCGTCACTTCGGTTTGCCGGTCCACGCAGAACTCACGTCACCCCCGTTCTTTGAAAATTCAACATGGCAGCCTTCTCCAACGACGTCTCCTATCAGTCTGCTACGGCCACGGCTACTCATCCTCGCTCGTTCGAACCCCCTCGGAAGTCGCACGATAAGACCCCCGTCGGAAATACTTTCCTGTGGACCAACTGGCCCAACGGCAACGACGCGAATCACGACTCTCATCAGAATGACCGGCACCTTCTGACTGACCTGAAGAACGTCAGTGCATACTCCCTGAATGGCCCTCGCTCTAGTATTGGCTCGTACACGCGCGACCTGCCCCTGTCCAAGGACGGCAGCATGCATTCGATAGGCAATGGATCCATGAGAGATCCCCGGGAGAATGGCCGCCCGTCCGCTATGCTCGACCGTAAAACTTCCGACACTGGACCGGGAGCTATTTCCACAACAGAATCCCCTTCCACCCAACAACCGAATGGCACTGCAAACGGCCGACCTGTCCAGAAACTCATGGTCAATGGAGATATTCATCCACCTAATGCCGATGAGTCTTCGATCTCACCATCGGCCTCGCTCTTACAAATCCCGCAGCAGGATGAGGCCGGTCGTCATTCTCCAGACCCCGATCGCCTGACACCGAACTCGAAGCCCGGCCAACCACGTCACTCCTCCCCTCCCGCCTCATCGACGCTCGACGCTGCCTCCATGCCAGAATCGCAGAATTCCAGCATGCGACAACGACATTCATTGCAGGTTCCGACAACGCCAAGTGTTCGACGAGATAGCCGAGAATACACCGATGACACAGTGTACAGCAGTGGCCGCATGTCACCGACGGCTGGCTTCCGACGCGCATCGGTCGGTCTAATCAGACGAGCTACGAAAACCAGCACCCAGCAAGACATCACTTTGGATGAGGCACCACCGGATGAAGATGCGGCCCGATGGGCCGAAGCTTTTAAACAAAAGCGAGCGTCGCGACGACGCCGCGAAGAGGAGGACGACGAGCGGGTGATTGTCGGCACCAAAGTCGACCAGAACCACGTCAACTATGTGACAGCATACAACATGTTGACTGGTATCCGATTCACAGTCTCGAGGATCAACGCGAAAATGGACCGGGAACTCACCCCGGCAGACTTTGATGCCAAACACAAATTCTCTTTTGACATGTGCGCACCCCTTTTAGGATTGAAATTTGGCATCGTACTAACAGTAGCAGAACCGGAAACGAACTGATTCCCTCCGCAAAATACGACTTCAAGTTCAAAGACTATGCACCGTGGGTGTTTCGACACCTTCGCGCCAAATTCCGTCTCGATCCCGCCGACTACCTGATGTCACTCACAAGCAAATACATTTTGTCGGAACTGGGCTCCCCCGGCAAGAGCGGGAGCTTCTTCTACTTTTCACGTGACTACAAGTACATCATCAAGACCATTCATCATTCCGAGCACAAGCTTCTCCGGAAGATTCTTCCTGAGTACTACCGGCACGTAGAGAACAACCCAAACACCCTCATCTCACAATTCTATGGATTACATCGAGTCAAGATGGCATACGGCCGAAAGATCCACTTTGTCGTGATGAACAACCTGTTTCCGCCCCACCGAGATATCCACCAGACGTTCGACCTGAAGGGCTCGACGATTGGTCGTGACCTGCAAGAGTCAGATCTTGAGAGAAACCCCAGAGCGACTATGAAGGACTTGAACTGGGTTCGTCGCAATCGCCACTTGGAATGTGGCCCGCCAAAACGAGACTTCTTCATTGAGCAATTAAAACGCGACGTGGTGTTGCTTCAAAAACTCAAGATCATGGACTACTCTCTTTTGGTGGGAATCCATGATGCAGGCCGGGGCAACGAAGAGAAATTGCGTGACAAGACTCTTCAGGTCTTCCAGCCAGGAGGCAACCGCGAAGAGGATGCGACTCCCAACAACCTAATGCGCACTCCATCGAAATTGGAAAATGAACGCAAGGCCCGGGAGCTGCGCATGCTAATCAAACGCGAACGACCTGTTCCATTGGACAAAGCAGCTGCGAAGATGCCAGATGAAATCCTCGATGAACGGAAATATCATGTTTTCTACGCGGATGATGGAGGTTTCTTGGCGACTCATGAGAATGGCCAACCCGGTGATGAGATCTATTACCTCGGTATAATTGATTGCCTAACTCATTACGGAACCATAAAGAAACTCGAGAACCTTTTCAAAGGATTCTCGCATGACCGGACACAGATATCTCCAATCCCACCAGAGAGGTACGGAGAGCGCTTCATTAATTTTATCAAGGGAATCACCATGTCGAAGGAAGAAGCCGAACGAGGACACGATTCTCGAGTTTCTGCCTCCGGTGCACCTCAACAATCAACCGAAAATCCGCATTCGAGATCCTCTTCTGTCGAGCGAACAATGCAGACAGCGGAGAAGGAGGCATCGAAAGACGTTTCCGTCACACATCCTCGAACATTAGCCACTGTTTGGGACCCAGCAGATGCCGGAGGCCCCGGTCCGACTTCGACTCTTCCCATCGTGGACGAAGCCGGCGAGGCAAGCAGTGTCGGAGGGCACAGCTCGCACAGCCGAAACGGCCCTCAAGATTTCGACCAGGAATTGCATACCCCTCGCGACGCTCCACCGGCAATTTCTAGCAAAGGCAAGGAAGTTGATCGGCGCAATCTTCCGAATCCCGGTCCGGTCCGACGTTAGCTCTTTGCAGCGACTGCCATCCCCTTGATACCTTAATTCGTCTCTTTGCCTTGTTTTTTTTGTATTCAGCGAGATATCCCCCTTGTTGCTCTTGATAGAACCACCTATTTTGTTTCCTCAGCGTGGGTCTGCGCGAGGCATATCATCTTCCCATCCTCATACTTTCCCCAAAAACTTTCCGCAAGAAACTGATGTTCACGAGTGACATGTGTATAATTTTTGTTGATTGTTGAGCAACTCATCTCCGTCTCTTCGTGTGTTTCCTATTTACCTTTGCCTGGATTACTCGGAACATTTGGACAAAGCCCGAAGCCCGAAGACTCAGCGTCACCGACTCTTTCTCTTTTCTTCGTCGTCTCAAGCGCCTTCATTCTCTCTAGACTTGCTTGCCACGACACTATACTGTCCGCGGGCTACCCGAGGACCGTACAGATTCCACCTTCATTGATCGAACATACCGTTGTCACACTCTATATCACAACCAGACCTCGTCTCCAGCCTAATAAGTGCTATCGTCCTATCCTGTGCCAACGTCACATCGATGATCCAATCCTTTGACCAACCATCTCATTCCTTTTTTTTCTTGTTCTTTTTGCTTGAATTTTGTTCTCCAAGCACGCCCTCACGGCCAAAGATTATCACCGGGCCTAAAATCCGGTCCTCCTTTCGTTCATCGAACGCTTTTTTCCTTGTTGTATCTCTTGTGTATCCTGTTTCTTCTCTTCTTCTCTTCTTCTCTTCTTCTTCTTCTTCTTCTTCTTCTTCTTCTTCTTCTTTTCTCCTTGGTTTGCTTGTTCCTCGTTCCTTGGTCGAGTCTCTCTCCATACCCTGTACCAATCACTATACCACATGTTATCTCTCGATGTCGTGCTTCTTATTTGCTTAGGGCAAATAACTTTGCAGAATTCAGCGTGGGACCTTCCTTAATACTTCTTTTTCGAATGCAAATGGTAAAGTCGACCAGTTGTAAAGTAGATGCTATGTATATAGCAAACTCCGTGAACGCAAGTGTGCACACAGTGACTAACCATCTGCCTAGGTATGTTGTGCAGGTGGTAGTCATACAATGGTTACTGCCTAGGCAAGACTTGACGCTAGAGATTGAGTCGCCCCAAATGCTAATATCTTCTTGTAGACTGGAGTAGACAAGAGTAGAGCCCAAAGTCAGCACATGCATGCACAAGGTTACCAGTACACTGATCGAAATAAACCTAGGCAGGCCAGGATAGGCAATTCATTATTCAAGCACAGCTTAGACTGGGCTGCAAGAAAGCAGAGATGGACCTAAGTAAGAGCCCACTAAAAAGACCCCGTTGCAACCATGAAACGCGAGTCAAATAAAACAAGCAAAGAAAGATATGTAAGACCAGCCCATTCATCACGTAGACGCCATATTCTCAAGAGAATCAATAAAAGGGGTAAAATAGAGACAGAAAAAGGAAAAGAAAAAGGAAAAGAGAAACACCCCCATTTGAGCTCCGAGAAAGGAACATGAAACGCAAAGCAAGGCAAAGTGTGCAACATAACTGAAAAGGCAGTCCAGACCATCTGCACGCGAGATTGCGATAGCAGCCGTGATGCAATTGGCATCTTCATCTTACTCGTTCTTTCCCTGAGTGACCTTGGCAGCCTGGATAGCAGACATCTTCTGAGTCCAGCCCTGAGTAGGCTGGGGCTTCTTGACAGTGCGGAGGTCATCAGTTGAAAAGCCTGAGATGCGCATGTTGTAGTTGCGCTCGAGGACGAGCTGGATATCGCGCAGCTCGAGGGTCGAGGAGGGGCGCAGTTTAGCGAGGCGACAGGCTTGAGTGATGACTTCGTCGACGAAGTCATCGGCCATTTGGAGGATGAACTGGGGAAAAATTAGCATTTTGGATATCCATTTTTTGGTCTCTCCCTTTGGAGAGGGAAAATGTTACCTCTTCAGCATCTGGAGTCAGCATCTCTCCTTCGCCGCCCCCGGTGACCTGGCGCACGAGGATGTCAAGCATCTTCTTACTCAGCACGCGCTGGCCTTCACCTTCCAGGACGTAGCCGGGGTGTTTCTGGATCGCGGGCTGGCCCATCATGCCCATGGCGCCGTGGCTGGGACCACCAGAAAGAGAAGGACGGGAGCTTGGCATCGAGACGGGCTCGGGGGTGGAGACATGCAGATTCTTGGGGATTGCCATGTTGGTGTTGCGGTTGGGGGTTTCACCTGGACGGTTGGCAAGATAACCCTGGGGGTGAGCCTGCTGGTTGACCTGGGCTTGTTGATTCATTGTTTGCTGCTGAGGGGTAGGGTTGGTATATGTTTGTGCGGCTTGTGAGATAGCAGCCTGGTGTGAGAGAGGACGAGGCGGGCCTTGGTTCACCTGTTGGGGAGGCCCAGGTGGTGTGGAGGTGGAGCCGTCAGGATGGGGGGTTTGGCTGAAAGTGACTTGCCCCCCCGGAGTTCCTTGCTGGGATGGTGGTTGTGGACGTTGCACTTGAGGTAGTGGCGCACTGATTGGGACTGGAGTGTTTCCAGCAGACTGGGCAGAAGGTGGTTGTCCAGGTTGAGAGACAGAGGGAGACATGGCAGTTTGGCGCGCTGCGTTGACCGCTGAGTTGATAGTATGAGGAGCTGGGGGTTGAGGTTGCCCTGATTGCATAGGGTTTGCTCCCGTTCCAGCCTGGGAATTGGGTAAATTTTGAGCTGACACGGGAGGTGCGACTGAGGCTTGGTTCAGATTGACGGACGTATTTGCCTGATTCATCGCTTGACTCTGTGGATTTTGTTGAGATTGAATTTTGAAGCTTTCCTGCTGTTCCTTGAACTTGTTCAAGAACTCACTACCCTCTCGGAAAAGCTTTTCAGCTGCCAGCTGTCGGTTTTTGAATTCTTGCATTTCCTCTTGGCTCATATTGCCCTGAGCCTGCCGCTGAGCATATGACGAACGAAGCTCGGCCATTCGAGCCCGTCCAACCTCCTGCTTTTGAAGAGCGATACCGTATCGCAAGCGAGCCTCGGGTATCCATGTCTGCACCTGCTCGGGGGTCACGTTCGGAGGCAGGAAAAAATTGAGCGCGCTGACTCGGGCTTGGATTTGTGGGATGAGCTGATTGATCGTTTGAGGGTTGTTGGATTGCGTTCGCTGGACCGGTTGTCCCTGTTGCCCCTGCGTTCCCTGGGGAGCTTGTTGTACAGGCTGTGTCTGCTGCCCTTGCTGTGGCTGTTGTCCTGGCTGTCCCTGCACTGCCGCCTGCTGGTGCTGGTGCTGTTGCTGTTGCATTGCCTGCTGTCGGTTCTGCTGGAAAACCCGCATCCCCTTCATCAAGTTCTGGGACAGCTGTGAGAGCTTCGTATGCGCTTGTTGGTATTCGTGGGTCTGTGGATCGCGGGTGTTCAGCAGATCCCAGAGGCTGCGCACTAGCTGGGTATGCTGGGCCTTCTGCTGGTCATTGAGGTGCGGTAACTTCTGCACTTGATCGGTTCGAATGAGGTTCGAGTGCTGTGGCTGCGGGGCACCCATTGGCTGGCCAACTTGGCCAGCTTGGCCCTGAGACCCATCCATTTCTGCGATGATGTACTGGTGCTCTGCCGAGGAGTTAAAATGATGCTGGAGACAGGATAATCGACGCGAAATGGTCTGTGTTAATAGTAAGAGCCGGTTGTAGTTGCCTGAATATTAAAGCGAGACTATACTATGCTGCAAAAACGGTATAACAGGAAAGTCCCAATGCAACGGACTTCAGCTTCGGCAGATTACAACTTTTGACGGCGGTGATGGAGGTTGGGCCGGTCTTGGCATCCGCCCTTTAACAGAGGCCAATGTTCTATGAAACTACCAAGTACCATCTCCCACTAGATGTTTGGTTTATTGAGATGGAAATTTTGTCATTGCATGTGATATTCTTTGGCCATTAAGATCAAGTGATGCATGTGGTATTGTTTGATATAATACCCATAACTCCTGAAACGGGGCAGTCCACAACTTCTGGGGCTGCTCATGAGCCCTGGAGAGAACCAAAGCCCCAAAGCCCCAAAGCCCCGAACCCCCGGGGCTTCAGCGCTGGAGCCAGGGGCTCACTTGACAGATGCTACTTTCGGATGGTCTGACAATCTAGGGGACCGGATATCCCTCTATCTAAATCGTAGTTATTCCCTATTTCTATGTTTCATCATAGCCTTTGCATGATGTAGAGTGATCAGCCCCTATGACACCACTAAGAACGGACATCTGAAAAGACACATGAGCATATCAAGTTAGATGAATCAGATTGTTAGGGGCTCTCGATGCGGCCGACTACTGTCTTACAATTTTCAAGTCAATCAAGACTTCTTATCCGCGGAGCGAGGATCTAAGGCTTGAAGTTTCGACTGACAAAAGCTACCTTTTATTCTCCCCATTCCTCTCTTCTCTTGAACGATTGAGGAGTTTTCAATTATAAAGGAGACGACGCCTATGACTCCTGAAATCATTCCGAATCTCCCGCAGTAAGTTGTACCTTCGTGATAATTGATTCGAGGCTTTTGCGCCCCGATGTTCCCTGGCATTCTGCAAAAAAAGGTGAAGGCTCTCCATGGAACTTTTATTTTGTAGGCATATCGAAAAGGAATATGGTCCCCCGATTGAGATTCTGGATCGGGGTTATCCCACAGCTTAACGATACTGTTAATCGAATTGTTGGTCAAGATATATTGAGAGCCTACAAATCTAACGAGAAAAGGCAATAGTACATTGTACGTGCTATGTACAACGAGTCTGTTAGAGGTTCTTAGGGTTTCTAAGGTAGTTATCAGGTTCTTTTAGGTCCGATTACGTTAGACTTGGTAGCCAAATCCTGCTGATACTTGGCAACAATATCGTGACTGTTGGATTGGTCTTGATGTTCATAACTATCGGAAGCTATATCATGGGCATGTCTCATGAGTATTTGGCATGAATATGTGGACACCAGAGGTCACTGGTCGCGATGACCTAGACGCTGGATGTGAGGTGCGCGATTGATGACAATTGAAAGTGAACCAACGGTGATCTTTGCTCGGAAGAAAGGCTCGGCATTTAAAGCAGCTTGCAGCACCAAGGAGCTTATTCTGGCTGAGTTCACTCGGTGACTACTTGCCAAACCCTGTTGTCACCAATAACCATCGTAGACATGACTGGCGCAAAGTAAACCAGTGGCGAGTCATCAACCAGGAAAACTCTTGATTGAGAGAAAGTTGTGGTATCCAGCCGGAGGGGGTGTCCACAGAGCAAGGTGTCCCTTTCTGCTGGGTGAGGACGCAGACAAGAAGTCGATGGAAAGTATTCCGCAATACAGGAATATAACCCTCACAAACGAAGAGAATCAGTCTATCAAACCACCGAGATCCCGATCCATGCCTGTAACCCGCTCTTCTAGCCTTCGCTTTCTCTGCTCCAAGACTCGGATTTCGGCCAACTCTTGCTCAATATCCTCGTCAGTGACCTCTGGGACCTCTGATTGTGCCACCGGTGCAGGGGAAAAATCATCTTCATCCTCATAAGAATGTCTCATCTGATCCAGTTCTGCAGTGTTTGTTGCAACCCGACCTTCCAACTGCGCTATGGACTCACTGATCATCTCATGCCGATAGCGAAGGTTGGCAATCTTTTCCTGTGCGCCCGCAACCGGACTTGCAGCTGGTTAGGTCCAAATAAAAGTTGCTTTCGGATACGTGGCACTTACTAAACTTTGCATAGGATCTCGGCGCCGCGAAGGAGCACTTCAATATTAACCTCCCCGCGGGGTCCTCTAGTGGAGGTACCCGCTGATCGCTTGATCTCTTCCATCATATCATGTCCCAGTACCCTTGCCACTGCAGACTGGTTACGGTTGTCCCGTGCTGAATAAATGCGGCTTGCCATTGACTCCCTTTCGGTCTCAGCAGGGAACATAGTCCCGCGTCGTGTAGCGCGTCTTTGGGATCCATGGGCCTTGGTAGAGGGGTCAACCTGGAAGAGTGCTCGCTCGTGGGCTTCTGTATCACGGATCAAGGCTGTGATATCGTGGGAGCCCAACAATGCAGTGGTAAAAATACGTGGGGGAGGGAACCTGAATGCTTATGTTAGTGATAGCAACATGGCTGTCGAGGGATGTCACAAGCACTAACGGCAAGTCGGCAATAGCATTGGAAGAAAGCGTGATCTGCTCTAGGTGAGAATTGAGTAGCGACATATTGGCGGGCGTTTTGAGAGTTCTGGATGGTGAAGGATGAGTGGTTGGATGCTCTACACTAGGAAAGCTGCCAAATTGCCTGAGGCATTCAATTCAGAATGTGTCTGTGTATTTGCAACCATGTCTAGCCACGCTGAAATCAACTGAATGAGATAGCGTCGGTTTAATTCTAGTTTACAGATAATTCTCCTTTTTTTTCTCCTCCAACCTTTGTTTTTTTTTCTTTTCAATGTCCTTTTATCGTCTTTCTAACAGCTCAAAAGTGCAAAGTTGAGGCCGCCCCAGTAAGCTCCACTGACTAAGCATTCATCTGGTCTCTTGCGCCCGTTCGTTCCATCTCTTGACATCACATCACCCATCCACTTCAATCATCTGTCCGCACGAATTTTTCTTCATCATACTCGTGATTTTAGCAGCTGGCTATCTAGATTACTTTTCTGCCTCCTGTCTTCATATCGTGCTCACTTGACCTTCCCCCTACTTCTTCCGATAGCTTGGTGGCTGCCCAGCTAAGCTCGACAGCTTGAGAAAGATGCCGGCCGAAAGGCGTTCTTTGCGATCAAACAATAAATCCGACACCTCTTCATCTGCTAACGGTGAAAAGGCAAACTCGAACACTCAGGGCTCGGGTGCGAAAGACAAGGCGCCCACGACTCGTGCCGCCGCCAACAAGACCAAGTCAGCTCCGACCAAGAAAGAAGCACAGGGCGCATCAAACGGCAGCATGGGAGAGGATGATCAGTCGCATACGAATGGTCCCAAGTCAACCGAGAATGGTGTGAATGGATCCGAAGATGTTGAGATGGGAGAGGATACGGCAGGTGCGCCTACATCCTCATCCAACACCAGCAAGGACCGCAAAAGTAACGAGAAGATGACTGTTGTAGTGCCCCAAACCAAGGGTTCCAGATCGTCTGGCAAGGATGAGGATGTGACGATGGAAGGTGCGGAGGATGGTGATGCTGAGAATACCGAGCCAGAGGTCGACCCGACAACTAAGGCGATTCAAGGTTTGTCTGAGTCCTTTTCCTTGCTCAAAACAGGTCCATATTTCTAACAATCATTGCCTCTTTGTTTGGCATGGGTTCAGATATCAAATCCAACTTCACCTTGCTCGAGCGAGCCGTTGCCCACTTCGACCCTAGATTTACCCTTCGTGTTCTGCGATCGATATCGTCGATGCGGAAACACCTCACCCCGGAGGTCCTCACCGAAGTCATTGTGGAAACCTATTCCCCTTCTAGCTCGACCGCCTCGTTCCTTTTGGAAGCTCTTGGCCAAATCAATGCTTTCGAGAATGCTCCAGCTGGCTCGCAGATGGAAGTTGACTCGGATAAGAAGCCCATCCCCAAGGAGACCCTTGCCGAAGTGGATGCATATCTCTCCATTCTCGTCCAGATATACCTGTTCGATCAACGGGAGATTCAGAAGGGAGTCCAGTTCTCGACAAGCTTGATCGAGCGCTTGCGAGCACTGAACCGCCGCACGCTAGATTCTCTCGCCGCCCGCGCCTACTTTTACTACTCTCTCTTCTTCGAGCAAGTCGCTCCGCTTCCTCCTTCACCCGCGGCAGCTGTTACCACTATCCGCCAGCCATTGTTGGCGGCACTGCGCACGGCTGTGCTCCGTAAAGATGTCGATACGCAGGCTACTGTGATGACCTTGCTGCTTCGCAATTACCTGTCCACGTCTCATATCTCACAGGCAGATCTCCTGATCTCGCACAATCCATTCCCCGTGGCTGCGTCTAACAATCAGATTGCTCGGTACATGTTCTACCTCGGCCGCATCCGTGCCATCCAGCTCCAATACACCGAGGCCCATAGCCATCTGATTGGGGCGACCCGCAAGTCACCTGCCAGCCAGGTTGCTCGTGGGTTCTATCAGGCTTCCCATAAGTTGTTGGTCGTTGTCGAGCTGTTGATGGGTGATATTCCCGACCGCGCGGTCTTCCGTCAGCCGGCTTTGGAACGGGCTATGCACCCTTATCTGTTGCTTTCTCAGGCAGTTAGTGTTGCTGACCTGGATGGGTTCGTCAACATTGTCAACACCCACAGCGAGACTTTCCGGAAAGATGGCACATACACTTTGATCTTGCGTTTGCGACAGAATGTCATCAAAACCGGTATTCGTATGATGTCGCTGTCTTACTCCCGTATCTCTCTGCGGGATATCTGCCTTCGCCTCGGACTCGACAGTGAAGAATCCGCTGAGTATATTGTGGCCAAGGCTATTCGGGACGGTGTAATCGAAGCCACGCTTGATCACGAGCGCGGGTTCATGAAGAGCAAGGAAGTGGGTGATATCTACGCCACTAGAGAACCTGGCGAGGCCTTCCACGAGCGTATCCGTGCCTGTCTAGCCCTACACGATGAGAGTGTTAAGGTATGTCATTTTGTTTCTCTCAATGAAACTTTTTCTTCTTTTGCCTTTACTAACATCGACTCATCTGTTCGCAGGCTATGCGTTTCCCCATGAACCAACACCGCCTGGAGCTCAAGAGTGCTCAAGAAGCTCGGGAACGAGAGCGCGAGCTTGCCAAGGAGATCCAGGAGGGAGACATGGATGATGAAGATGCTGGTGGTGATTTCGATGCCATTTAAAGAGGAGTGTGATTGTTCCATTAATCGATGCAGCATTTTTTTCTTCCCCCTCTACCGCACTGGTCCCATGCATGGGGCTCTACCTCGTAGCGGCCTTATTCAATCTGTGTGTTAATTATGCAACTTGTTTTCCTTATTCTGGGTCTTTAGTCGGATGTGTACGAAGGGGCATGTGCAGGATGCAGGACAAGGATAGCCGGCGCAGTTTTCTGTGTCTATTGTACTGGAATTATCTCTTGCCCTGTGCCTTTGTTAGAATCCTATGTTCATGGAGTGGTCAATGGCCGGTAAACTGTAATGATCCCTTAGAACAATCATCCCCTTGATGCTGTTCTCTAAGAGTACATTAGTGTCGATAACAGGTCGCCGGGTCATACTTGGTTGCGTAGCACCGGGTCCGTGCCGACCCGAGAGAGCTCGAAATCTTCCCGCCCGCAAGATTGTTCGTTCTTGTACTCCGCAAACACCCCTACATCGGTATCGTTTCCTGGGATTAGGTTCCTATGATTTAATTTGGATTCCCTCGTTTACAATTGAAGAGCCCTCGCATTGAGCATGGGAGCTCGAACCGTATCGGCCACCGGGCTGATCCTCTCATCACGAACAACTGTCTGTTCCCAATGCCTCCGCGATGACCTCCGTTTCGCGCATATTGCTCTCCAATCCCGCAAATACCATCCGACGCGCCGGCGGGATGCCTCGCCATTTGGAGCTGCTGTGTCAGCGGCTCAGGCCATCTTCAAGGGCATGCCGAAGGCGCCTCCAGGTATCTCCGTCGACCCATTGAGAATGGTTGGGAAAGAGCTCAAGTTCCTCACCAAGAACATCCGACAATTGCTTGGATCGGGCCACCCAGCGCTGGACAAGGTCGCCAAGTACTACACTCATAGCGAGGGTAAGCACATGCGGCCCATGCTTGTCCTCTTAATGTCCCAAGCAACAGCTTTGGACCCTCGCAAGCACCACGCCTACACGGACAAACCGAGCCCAGTCGATTCCCCCTTCAGTGCCCCATCTATCCTTGAAGACGCCAACCCAGAAATGAGCCCGCTTGTGACCCCGAATGCCGAGAGTAAATATGACGTTCCGGGAGATGATAACATCCTACCTTCACAACGACGACTGGCCGAGATTACGGAGTTGATCCACACAGCATCTCTCCTGCACGACGATGTCATCGATAATGCCGTGACACGTCGCGCCAATAGCTCCGCGAACCTAGCGTTCGGAAATAAGATGGCCGTGCTAGCGGGTGACTTTTTGCTCGGGCGTGCCTCGGTAGCGCTGGCTCGTCTGCGTGACCCCGAGGTCACCGAACTCATGGCCACTGTCATTGCTAATCTGGTAGAGGGCGAGTTCATGCAACTGAAGAACACTGCGCAAGATGAATCGAGACCCGTCTATACCGAAGAGACACTAGCCTACTATCTCCAGAAGACTTACCTGAAGACCGCCAGTCTCATCAGCAAATCCTGCCGTTCCGCTGCGGTCCTGGGACGAAGTGCCCCGGAGGTGATCGAGGCTTCGTACGCCTATGGCCGCAACTTAGGTCTGGCTTTCCAGCTTGTTGATGATATGTTGGATTACACAGTCACTGAGGCTGAGATGGGCAAGCCCGTTGGTGCAGACTTGGAGCTTGGATTGGCGACTGCGCCACTCTTGTTTGCGTGGAAGAGCAACCCGGAGCTTGGTCCTCTGGTCGGACGGAAGTTCCGCAAGGAGGGTGATGTGCAGCTGGTGAGTGTTCAAAATGGCGTGCGAACTTGCTTAGTACGACTATACTAACCCTTTGCTTCCACTAGGCCCGTGATCTCGTTTACCGCAGCGATGGTGTTGAGCAGACCCGTGCTCTGGCCCAGGAATACGCCGACAAGGCCATTGCCGCCATCAGCGACTTCCCAGACTGTGATGCCAAGACCGGTCTCATCGAGATGTGCGAGAAGACCATGAATCGCAGGAAGTAGAGGAGATTGCGCTCCCATGTACACATCTTTTTCTTTCAGCTTGCCCGTCCCCTGTTGCTTCTTCAAGTGACAGTGTTTTTTTTTCTTTTCTATGTGCCTATGTACACTTAGATGTCTTAGATGGTTTGGATATATACTTGATCTTCACCAATAGAAAGCTTTTCTTCTCTTCTCTCCTTGTGTTATATACGCTGCTTCTTACTCTATGGATGTTCATAGTATTTGCCTGAATCCTGAACAAGCCAGCTGTCGAACTATATTCATATCGCGTAAGCAGAAGTAAAAACCATCTTTGAATCCATCAGCGTGGTCTTTAGAATAGAGGATTCTGTATTTTACGTATGAGGCCCCTTTCACGCGCTTTGGGATAACCTCGTTGGGTCTTTGAAGTCACTGTTGCACTGCATAAAGAGGAGAGCTATCGAATCCTTTG